TCATTCTGCTGTGTAGACTTTCAATGGAGTTTTTCATCCCTGGAAATCTATTTGCATCTGTTTTATGGATTCCATTTGTTTCCTCTGTTGGGATTCCATCATGTTCCTCAGCTCCTCTCTAGATTTATTAATCATGTCTTGCCCTAGGAGCACAATTTCTCCTATTATCTGAGAAATTATTTCTGATTTCATTTTTTCCAGATCCCCTTTTGTTGCCAGTTCAGTGGGTCCAGGTGGTTGAGTATCAGAGTGTTCCATCTCATTTCCCTTTGTGGTTGCCGTACGTGATCTGGAAGTCTGGTTTTGAGACTTATTTACATGTTTTCTCATTTCAACTGGGGGGGCGGTGGGGGGGGTGCTGTTGGCGCATGAGCGGATTACCTCCTCTGAGCTGGGAGAGGTGGGACAGGGGCCCGGAGCAGCGGGAGGGATGGTAGCCGGGAGGCCCCTTCCTCTGGACCAGGAGCAGTGGGACGACGGCTCACAAGCCCCCACCTCTGGGCCGGGAGCAGCGGGACCCAGTACCGTGGTCTGGTGGTCCAGTGTCCTCTGTGTCTTTGTAGTGTGGAACCCAGGTGGCTGTACAGAGGAGCGGTGGGGGGGATGTCCAGTGGATTGCTGCCGGGGCGCGGGCTGATTCGGTGTGTTCCACACGACTCTACCTGTCATTTCTTAATTGCACTGACTTTTACCATGAGCTCTCATAAGAATAAAATTCCCATTTATCTAATACCCTTTTCTCCCATATCTTACAGTTATTCTGGGAATCTGTGGTCTTTTATGAAGTTCTCATTGCCCCCATCCATTGCTGTGTATTAATCGCCATCCTGAGCATCAAATCACCTCAAGAATTATAAACGGTTTGGCAAAAAAAGGAAGTAAGGAAGTCACAGAATTCAAAAAACAGTTCGGCTAACTTTTTTTTCTATTAATTAAATAGTTTCTGGAGCTTTTTATACAGATAGCCTTAAGTTGCACTGTTGATCCCTATTTTTACTTACTGCAACAGTCACTCTACAAATGCAAAAACAAAAATCTCAAAACAACACAAAATATAAACAATGAAAATCAGAGCCACAAAATATGGCAAAAGAACTGTAAATCCATTTCAAATATATTTAATTCTAGTCTCAGAAAGTTACAACTCATAAATGTACAGGTTGAAAGTCAAAATGTCAATTTAATAATGCTGAAAATCAATATTCATAGGAGGGTGTTATCAAAAGTCCTTATTTTCTCTAAAGCCTGGTTCTGGGTTTTTGGGGGTTTTTTTCCATACCTGGGATCGAACTCAGGACCATGTGCTTGTGAGGCAGGCATGGTGCCACTGAGCTAAATCCCCGGCCGACCTAGTTCTTATTCTATGTCTCTTCTAAGTCAAAACTGGAAAATCGGAATGACAAATGCAGATCTGACAGACTTTAAAGAAAGAAGAATAAAGAGACACGTGTGGAAGGCACAGTGCTGCAGTTTCTCTACATCACAGGAAGAGTCATGCTCTGGTCTAGTAAGTGTCCCCTAAAGCCTGTGTGTTAGAAACTTGGTCCCCAGCCTGGTGACACTACTGGGAGGTGGTGTAGCCTATAAGAGGTGGGGCCTAGTGGGAGGTGCTCAGGTGGGGGCGTGCCTTCGAAGGGCACATTAGGACCAGCCCCCGCCTATTTCTCACTTTTGCTTCCCTGCCATGAGGTGAATGGCCTCTTCCACCATCCTACCATGACATGCTGTGCCACCACATTGGCCCAAAGCAGTGGGCCCAATCAGTCATGGACTGAGACCTCCAAAACTGGGTGTCAAAATAAACTCCTCATTATAAGCAGATTTATTTCAGGTTATTTATCGGAGTAAAGGAAAGCTAGCTAACAGGAGCCACATGCAGTGGGAAGGAAAGAGAGATGAGGGCAGGCGCCACACCAGCTGGAACCTCTTCCTCGTCACATACTAGCTTTTCCAATGGTGTAATCTCATTCATTCAATGAACTGTTATGGGACATGTCCCATGAATAATTTACTATTGGAGGCTTTACTACAATAGTCTTTACATATACAGCTGTGAACAAGAAAGACAAATTAGTTTCCCTGTACTGCAATTCTTTTATATGACTTCTTTTTTTGTCCTCCTTTTTTATGTCACTCATATTGTCTTTCCTCAATTGGTCAGGTGGTCAAAATTTATTGGATATATATTATTTTTTATGAATAAAGATCAATAATAGACAATACTAGTGACAAACACAAACATCAGTGACAAAAACTTCTCAACTAGACAGAAAGTCCTAATTTGAGAATAGGGAAGAAATTGAAAAAGGAAAGAGTAGATAAATTTTAAATTGTTATTTATTAATTTATTCAGCTAACACAGATTAGGTACTTATAATGTGCATAGAGATGTGTTATGTGCCACAGGAGACATAACAATGAATTAAGACAGAATAAAAGCTACCATTTTCTAGGTCCTATCCATTGTCCTGTGGCTACATTCTCCTGTTCTTGATTCATACTGACTTTGGGCTTTAATCTCTCTCTACTCTGTGACCTGCACCAAATTACCTAACATCTGTAAGCCTCAGCTTCTGAAGTGGAGACAATAACAGTACATTTTTTATAATGCCGTTGTGGGGCTGAAATAGATGGTGCATGCACATCCTTTACCATTGGCTCTTATATAATAATAGCTAACAGTCACTGCATGCTTATCACAGAGCTACTGTTACCCTACTAGTCTCATGCATTCCATCTTCCTTTTCATATTCTACCATCCTAAATCAGATTGTAATCTCAACAATTAAATTAAAATGTTTTTCAAGCACCAAGTTTTTCAAACACTATGCTGGGTTCTTCCCATTACAAGAAATACAATTTCTTGCCTTTCTACCTTTGCTTTATTCATGCCTCTGCCCAGCATTCCTCCTGGTATATCTGCCTGGGTAAAAATCCAATCCATATTTCATCATCTAGCCTAAACATCTTCATAAGCCTTTCCTGCAATTCCAGAAGAAATAACTTTACTTCTGAGTTTCCACTGAATTTACAGCCTTTCTCACTTCTTTTCCCCCATAAGCCATGTTTATCCTAAACAAGATTTTTTAATATTCAAATGCTCTTAGTTCCCAGTTAGACACATGTAATAAAAAATGACGGGACATATAAAAGCTTTGTGTTTTTTTTCTCTCACAAGAATAATCTCTGTTGAAGACTATGGATATTGCTTTGTCATTGTGATTGAAGAACGAATCACAGAATCTGCTCCAAAATATTCTAAAAATGTCATAACCTTAAATCGGATTACTGAAAAATGTCTACATTGTGAAAACACAACATAGAAACAGGAAATGAGAATTTGATACCAAGATTCATGCTCAGTGTTTTAAGAAAGAAAAAGATTATGTAATTGTTTGCTTACTTTTCTTTCTTGCTCCCCAGTTGGCGAGCTGTGTATGGATCTCCATAGTCAATTAACACCAGTTGTCGAGAAAAGACATTCACTTTGTTGCCTATAAATAAATCTTCCAAGCGCAGGTCATCATACTTGGTCCGCTTTAAAAAGGTGCGATGATTCTTTACATCATGCTATAACCAAAAACAACACCACAATTAAAAAATATACTTATCAATAAAGAAACCTTTACCTTATTATGAGATAATATAAATAGCTCTTAATTCTGGCTTATCAAAGATAGATTATGTTTTATTTCTTTTGTTACTATAAATACAATTTATATTATAAATTCTGTATTTCCTAATCTAATCCAGCTTTTTTTTTTTGGTACTGGGGATTGAACTCGGGTCCTTGGGCTTGCGCAGCAGGAGGCGAAACCACTGAGCTAAATCCCTGGCCCTAATCCAGCTTTTAAAATAAAAGGTTTTTATTACAAATATAATACTTAAAACATTCTGAATAGAAATATTTGTTTATGGACAAATTATTTCAGCAAGTTAATGCCTATGAAATCCCAGAAAGCCGGCGATTTAGCTTAGTGGTTCCAGCGCCTGCCTCGCAAGCGCAAGATCCTGAGTTCGATCCCCAGTACCAAAAAACAAAAATTAAAAGAAATCCCAGAGAAAGTCATATGTCCAAATTTCTGCTTCCTTGTATACACATTTCACTAACACACAGACACACTTGTTAAAAATGTTGTCAATGAAAGTGCATAAAGGGATCTTCTTAAGCCAAACTTCTTCTATTTCACTTTTTGTGCACGTAACAGACAGCTCTCAATAACGTTTATATTTCTGACCATAATAATCTTTACCTATAACTACTCATTGTTTACTCCTTTATCTAAAACATGTATAATGCCACTTTTCGAAAACAATCCAAGTTTAGATATTAAAAATATAAGCACAAAGATATATTTTTCCATTGGTATTTTAATGAATACCCCCAAAAGAATTCCCATAAAAATATACATGATTGTATTTTTAAAGCAACTACACAAAAGGCAATTCTGTCCACGCCGTGTCCTACCTTCACCATCTTTGTCAACTCTCAAGCAAACAAAGGTTCATTTACCATTTCAACAGATCCATCCCCTGGGTAAAATAAAAGCTTGTAACGTCGAAGGAGTGAAGCATTTGGGTCATACCACTCTGCAATGAAAACGAATCTCTCACTATGATTCTGTAAAGAAAAATAGAGTAATTTTTACACTAACATATAAAATATAAGCACTCTTCTATAAGCCATACAAAATGAGAATTTCCAAATATTTCCAAGAAATATGCTACTGCCTATTATATTGAATTATTCTGCTTCTCAATAAGATAGCACAGTTTCAGATGTATTTCCTGCTAATTTCTCATTTAATATCCTTAGACATTTCAAAGACAAGTTATGAACAGTTTAATGTTTCACATCCATCCAATCATCTGAAGTAAATTAATCCATTTTCAGAATATGAGCCCTTGATCTGACTACTGTGACAACTCAAAATCCATCTGAAGACTAGTTTACATACAGGCTATCAATACATTAATATGAAAAAAGGTTTCTGAAAGGCTGAAACACCAGAGTTTTAACTTTCCTAAACTTAAGAATTTAGTAATATTAGAATATTGTTATCATTAAAATTATTGTAAACATCCTTTCTCACCATAGTGATTTCATGATAGTATCTTTTAATAGAAATGGTAAGAGAATATGTTTCTAGGACTTCTGAAAAACAGAAGCCAAGGCAGGCATGAACAGCTAAGAATCTCATTAAGGAAAATTCTGACAAGAGAATTGGGGAGGGAGCGGGGGAGTCTGGGAAAGCCCACAGACCCCAAGGCAAGGATGACTGAGTGGAAGAGAGGTAAGGCAGACTACGTGGAACCTTCCTGGACTGCTGGGTAGTCTAAGGAAGATCCAATAAGCCCATCAGGGAGGGCTCTTGCCTGTTAGCTGCCAGAAGAGCACCTCAAGTCCCAGCTAGGGCTCAGCTTTACTACCCCTGCCCACCTCTGTCACTGGCTGGGAGCAGCCTTGGAAAGTAGGTCCTAAGTTCGAAAACAGCAGTGAAGCCCCCACCTCCCAAAGTATCACAGGCCTGTAATCCCAGCTACTGAGAGAGGTAGGAGGGTTCCAAGTTCCAGGCCAGCCTGAGCAATTAGTGGGATCCTGTACGGAGGGAAGGAAGAAAGGAAGGAAGGGTTATTACTGTTTTATCTTTGTCCTTTGAGGTAAAAACTATTATTAGATTGTATGAATCAGTGGGATCCACTGTTTATTTACATTTGACTGCTTATATTCTGTTTAGTATTCTCTAAAGTGTTTGAGCTATCCTTCAAAAATCTTAGTTATCTCTTACAATAAGTAGGATCAAATATTGAATGAAGTAGGGAGGGAGGGAAATGGAGATAAGCTAACAGTGCGTCAGGCTTACTTAATCCACATTTCAATTAAGCCGCACAACAAACCTGTAATGGAGGTATTCTCCACAGTGGGGAAAACAGAGCCTCAGTGAGATTGTCTAGATGCTTCACAGTTCAAACAGGCAGTCAGGGCCAGAGATAGGATTCAATCAGAGGTCTGTCTGATGCACAAAATCAATGCCCATGTCCAGACATCTAAGCATTGAATCAAGACCTCTGAATCAGCCAGCCAGCAGAGCAATGGAGATGGGAGACATTCTGTCTGATCAGAAAAGCAGACAGTGACAGTAACAAATCAAAGAAGATCACAGACCAAGGAAAATCAGTTTGGCCTCAATCTTAGGAAGAATAGCTCTAACTAGATTACTAAACCCCTTTAAATGTTTCTGGCAGCTTCATTCTCAATGAGGTATAAGAAATCAAGGAAGAAGAGTTATCCAGACCCAATATGAGATTATACGGACATAGGAAATGGAAATCAACTCATGGGAGAAACAGGCATCGAGAGGAAAAATAAATGCAGTGGTGCAGAATGATGTGATGGTGATGTTTGGAAATGTCTTTATTTCATCTTCATAGTGTTGACAGGGACTTTTGCTGATTATAGAATTCTGTATTACAACACTAATAGTTATTCAAGAACACATCTTGAAGAAAAATATTTTGTATTCTTCAGCCCCAAAACCATAACGGAGGAGAATACTATCTCAAGTAACTTCAGTTTTTTTAAAAAGGCATTTTTAAAAACTTAATAAAATTATATGCTAATTATCTAATATACAGGTGAAACAGTGGTATATTTTTAGTTTTCGAAATTGTGGAGGATGAACTTTTTAATG